CTAGTCCTCTTTCACACTAAGGGCAAGAGGCAGCAGGTACATGGATCACTGAGTGACACTCAGGTTTGTAACACCTAAAGCGTGCTGACTGCTTGGCTTGCTAAGTGGTCAGCAAGAAGGTCAAAGTAGAGAGCTCATGCTGAAACCTTTCTTATCAGTAGGATCATCTCATCAATCCACATCTTTTCCTCCTGGAAGCTTATAGTCTTCACAAAGCTTATATAAACCTGTTTTATATCCTTAGATACCTGCCCTCAGAAAAAAAATTAGTTTTAATGTGTCCAATGAGTTTGACGTGTACTGGGGAGAACAGGGCTGACAGAAACGGCATGGTCACATGAGCTTTTCTTTAGGAAACCATGGTGAAAACAGTTATCAACACTGTGCCTAAACCTGAAATTTTTCATTGGGGTTTTAATCTACATTTGAACACGAAAAATATACGCTTGATACTAATTTTAAAAAAATCATCCCTTGAGACTAAAAATCACACCTGTAAGGATTAGTTACTTTCTATGTTTCAGGGAGTGCAGCTCACTAGCAGAGAGTGGTGACCATCACCATCAGGACTTCTAAAATCCTTTCTCACTGTTCCTCGTTTAAGTGATGAGCACACATTACAACTTGTTACAATGTATCTATTTCCATCTGTACTTAGAAAATACAAACACATACACACACATATATATATATATATAAATTTACAAACACCGAAATATGTTACAAAGTTTCTATGCATCCATGTTCCTCCACAATAGTCCTGAGCCTGGATTTTGCTGCCTGTTCTCAAGGTAAGAGACAGCCATGTGGTAAATCCAGGAAAGCATGAAACAAGTGTGCAGAAAAAAGTTAAAAGATCCTTTATAAAGTAATGAGGTTTTTTTTCTGATTCCCAATATAAACCAACTAAATCTTCTCATCCTGAAAATATAGAACCTCTACTGATATCGTTCCATATAACACTCGTCTCTTAAACTGCCTTCCTCCCACAAAATTTTCCGCTGAGATCCCAACCAGTTCAACAGCGTTGGAAGCACCACTGGCTGGAGCTAAGGAACTCCCAAATTAATCACTGATTATTCTTCTGTCAGGTTTTGTGGTGGTTTGGGTGGATTCACCCTTTTGGCTTGCACCTTGCAGCCAAACACAGCCTGCTCTTTCACCCTCCCCCCCGCCCTCGCCCAGTGAGTAGGGGAGAGAATTGGAAGGAAAAGGGAAAGGAAACTCACAGGTTGAGATTAAAACTATTTACTAATTAAAATGATAATGATAACAGTGATAACAGAATATACAATTGAGTGATACACAGTGCAATTGCTCACCACCTGTTGACCAATGCCCAGCCTGTGCCAGCCAGTGATCCTGGAGCCGAGACAGTCCTGAAACCCCGGAAGAGCAAGCCCGAGAGATCCCAGAGAGAATATCCCTGATTTCCGGTCAACTCTGCTTAATATACTGGCATGATGTGATATGATCTGGAATATCTCATTGGCACATCCAAATGCCAGTTTGGGTTTTGCTGTTCACTGCGCTTCTCCCTCCCAGTCCTAATGCAGCTGTGAAGCAGCCAAACACGGTGGCCTTGAGCTCCAGCAGCAACTAATAACACCAGTACTGTTATCAACGTTCTTCTCATAAGAAGTTCTGCTGAAACTAAAACACAGCTATTCTAACTACTGAGAAGAAAATTAACTCTACCCTAGCAAAACCAGCACAGGTTTGTTTGAAAACATTTCTTCTACTGCATGGTAACAGATGACAGTGTGCTACATAACCTTTACCTTGGATTTCTGAAAGCAGAGAACTAAGAACTGATACCAACACAACTTAAGGGAGTGTTTCAGTATTTTAATTTGTGTTGTTTTACAAGTATAAAAGAAAACCCATGTATCAGATCTTGCATACACTTAAACACATGAATAATCCTTACCGAGCAATCTTTTGCATGACTCCAGACTACTCAAGCGAGTACAGTTTTTAACAGTAGCCCTATACCCTTCCATGGACCTCTAACATTCACAGAGGAGAGGCGAACCTGCAGCAAGAGATCAGTCATTCATACACATACATCCTTTGTAGCTTATACTATCCTCTCAGTGCAGCCACTGGGTGTACAGATAACAACACTCTCTAGACTGTCATTATCTTGAGAAAAACTGCCTCTCCTAGCATTACAGCAAACTTCAGAAAAACAAGCTTGTCCTTTAAAACATCGGTCTTAACAGATATCTTTGTCTCTATGACTCCCTCTCATATCTTCTTTCTACCAGCAATAGCAGCACAGCTAGATCAAAACGTACACAGAGCAGCAATACTGTTAGTCAATCTGCACTCCACGCTGTGGTGACATGAAGCACAGTGAAAGTAACAGCTTTCATGTTCATGGAGTGCTCAAACTGTATTGGGTTAGTCTGCACAACTAAGGCAAAACCATATGATAGAAATATAACCCATACTAATCTTCTCCCCCCACCCCTCCAATAACAGCGATTTAAATAGTCAATTCCCTGTGCATGCACTTCAGGAGATTGGCAGAAAAATAGGAAGTAATATGGCACACTCTCTAAAAATATGCATATACAGTAGTCTTCATCATTGGTATCTGAAGTTAAATACATACTGGACTCCTGGCTGTGTAACTCTCTACTATGGACTTCACTATAGCACAAGCCTTTCACTGGCTGAGGTTTGTGAAGCTTCCACTATTTCCAAATAGCAAAATCACAACTGTACCATCACTCGCAGTGTCCAAAGTCTGCTTTAAGGATCTGACAGCTCTCCCTTCAGATATGAAGTACTTCTACATATGAAGCCACCCTGTTTAAATTTTATTTTTTTTTTCTTCCCCCAAAGGCAAACATTTCAGATCTAGGTACAGCTGTAGATAGGCAACCACCATAATTATGGGATTTTTGATGAGTATCCAACTATAAAGCCAGATACTAAGTTTTACCTAAGAACACCTGAAAATTTGGCCCTGTGTGCTGAACTCTGCAGGTTTGGAAGCAAGGGTTACATTCTCACTTGCTTGTTAACTCACTACTAAAAAAAATAAATCTGAAATATCTTCCACATTTAGACAAGTACAGAGAAATACTATACTTTTATGTACAGAAGTATAGAGAAATCCTACAGCATCTTCAAGGAGTCACTTCACTATCTTATGTTCCTTTGAGAGATGTTTGGTGTCTTCCCTGGATATGTGAGGTATGTTCCCATGGCAAGCTCAGGCCAAAAATTCCCACTACCATTCACCAATAATTTAATGCAATCTACATACACATACCACACACAGACACATGTTAAGCAAAATAAAAAACATAACTCCATTATAAAACTGAAGTATGAAGACATACATTTAAAGTGCAGAGAAGAAAAAATTGAAACAGCTTAGCTCTTTGCAAAATGGCGTGTGACACAGTTCATTATGAATTACCTCAGACCCCAAATTGAGACACTTCTAATACAATGATGCTGATGTTATTCCTACTGAAGAACTTCACATCCTCCATGACAATGGGCTGGAGGCTAAGCTTAGGACACTAGGAGATGCTTTGGGTCATAAATTACCTGTTTCCACAAGCAGCCATGATGTGTAATACCGAAAAGAAATGCAAGGTGCTAAGTAAACAAAGTGCAAAAAACTTTCACTTAATTCTTGAAAATACAATTGTGTTTGTGTATTTCTACTGAATTCTTGAGTGTTCATCTGCTAAAGCTTTTTCAGCGACTTGCAAAATACAGAAACACTTTTATTTGTGGTGATAGAGTGCCTAGAAGAAAAAGTCAGTGACTTCCATTTCCTCTTTCAGATTTCGAGCCTGTGGTACTTCCGAGGTAAAGAAGTCAGAGGGTTTTGAGCTACTGATATTAAACTAAACATACTGTATTACAGCCTGAAATAGGCAGCCAGCATCTTCTGTCAACCCACGTAAGAAGTCACTGAGTTGCCTGCTTGATGTACTACCATCCCCCTGACAACCAGGGTAGTGCTCATCTCTTAACTTCAGCCATTTAAAAAGAGACAGATAGTCAAAACTAGTTGTGAAGGCAACTGGTTAACACTGAGTAATAGGTCTCCAGAAAATGATTCATATCACCTGCCTTAGAGGACATTTTAAGATGGGTTGAATTACTTCCTGGAGATATGCTCTGGAGAGTATCTGCCCAACTTCTAGATATTTAAAGTTACATGAAGTGACCACCACCCTAATACTAGAACATCACAATCGAAGTATTGGATAAATGGTAATACTGGGAAAATGAGCTATTCCAGAACATCACAATTAATGCGTTAAATTTAATTCCCTTACTAACAAGCAGCAAATGTGAAAGGTAAAACAGTGCAAAGTCAACAACCCCTCTGTCCATTCTCAGTAACAGTCACATTTCAATATTAGTGCTGGCTAATTGGCTGTTTCTTGGCAACCTAGACTACAGTGCATTGTAGAAGTCCAATTCCTAGACCACAGAAAGAAGTATTATCTTATTACACTGATTAGAGTGTAAAAAAGACTGCAGTTTCATCAAAGCAGACCACAGTTACAGTCGATATATAGTCAAGGTCTACGCTCTGTTTCCATGCTAGGGTGGCATGCCATAATGACATCCTGCCTGAAATAAAATGTATTTCTTTCCATCCTCAGATTTCCTGAGTCAGATGAGCATCAGGCCAGTTTTTGAAGGATGTCTCCTATAACGATTTCAAAACAAGAATGTCATAAATAATAACTTTATGTGCAAAAATCTCCAAAACAGAAGTCTGCAAACAATGATTGCTCTCTGTACACAAACACACACAGATACACGTACTCATACACTAAGTCTTCCACAAAGGTAGGCTTGTCAGTCGTCATGCAGAGTTATACCTGCAAGAAAGAAATCCCATCCATTAAGACACAATGTCCAAGACACACAATGTTCCCAGCAGGTGATCTGCCACCTTCCAAAGGCACCTACTTGCTTCCAGTTGTACTAGGCGTTGGAAGAAGCACTTTGATGAGGATTCCCCTTTTGAGAATCTATTGTCTTGCTACTGCTCCGTGCTTCATCAGTATTTTCAAGAGATTTCACTTCTGCCTTGTCCTTCAGTAGTGTGGATTTGGGAGGCTTGCAAATAAAGCAGAGGAACATGAAACAGGACAGCAAGCCTTCAGAAATGCTGGATGAGAAAAGCTTTTTGCACGGGTGGCAGAACTGGTAGAACACCAACATGAAGAGGACAGCCATGCAGTAACCTATCAGGAGCTGCAAGACCAACAATGGGGCGCAGACATACAGGTAGATGTCGGTTTTATAGATGTACCACATCAGCAGGAGGAACGCATTCTCGATGAATCGCAGCATGTAATACACAGTCAGTCGGTACCAATTCTGGGACTTGTTAATTAAGTCAGGATCGTTGAGCTTCACCTGCACTGCTGACCAGCAGAACATGTTAATGCCAGCATACAAGAAGGTGAGAAGGCACAAGACGATGGTAGTGCCGACCCTGCTCAATGCCTTCTCTATGTTCTCAGGAAACGGGGACTTGCTTTGCCAGAAGAGAATCCATGGGTAGAAGAAAAAACCAAAGAAATTCACGAGCACAACGGGCAGAGTCCAGATTTGAAGGACTGAACTGAAAAGGACCAACACCGTAACTCGTGTAGCAATCTCAAAGCTCCTCCACATGAATATGCAGAGGTAGGCGGCTGGTTTCACGCTGACATCATAGTCATCATACTTAATCTTAATAGCCAGGATGTTGCAGCGTAAGGCACCATATACAATTGACAGGAGAGAAAGGACCATACAAACACCTACAAAGAGAAAACAAAAATCAGGGCCTTCAGCTCGTTAAAAGAAGTTAAAAGACCTTGATCAGAGTAGTGCAGATGTAGTTGTCTCCATGGCACTTCTGGGGATTCCCAGCAGGGTGTAACGTCAAAAGCACCATTCCTTGTACACACCTCTGGGTTCTTACTCTAACCCTGCCTCCTGTTTTGGTCTCTGCTTGTTACTTTTCCAAGTAGCTAGAAAGAAAAGGCACTCAGGAGTCACAGGTTTCTCTCCCTCCTCCCCCCACCCAGGCTGTTCATACATGTGCTGTCTTCAGCAATTATACAGCTCAGTAGTAAATTGCTCTCAGACTCTCACAGCACTCCACAAGGCACAGGGGTGCTACTCCCCTCTGTACAGATGAAGAAGTGTGCAACAGAAGTTGAAATTTTGGGGTTACTTGGGCACACAGATACCTCAGTGCTTGTGAATTTCTATGTCGAAGAAAATTGCCTAAGCTCGCAGAAGAGCCCTGCGATAGAGCTCAAAATTGAAAGCCAAAGCAATTTAAACCCAGAACCATCTGTACTTTCTGTGCTTGCACAGAGAGAGATTTCCTCACCTGTCTGCCATGTGTCTTCCTAGACACCTGTTTTCCCTATACACATGTCTGTATCATGCATTTATAAACAACACTTCTTTAAAAAAACGTCTTTACATTCAGATCGACTTTCTGTAATTCTCATCTCTCCAGAATCCCTCAAGTGAAGGTTTCATGGCATTTAAATTCCACAGAAAGTGAAGGCAGAAGCCAGTTGTTACCTGGCCTCCCCTCCAGATGCAGAAGGAGCCAAGCTTTCTGGCACTGCAGGGGGAAGTCTTTTCTTGCTACATTAAGTAGGTACAGAGGGATGAGAAGCCTGGATGCATAGAATAAGCATGTATAGAGATGTACCTTGATGTTCAGAAGTGCTAACTGCCCACAGGTTTGTTACATTTGCACACTTTCTTCACAGTTGTTACCAACACGTTTAATAGCTGATTTAGGGAACTAATTTTAGGCACCCCCAATCAATCTTTTAGCATCAATCTTCGCATTTTGTCCATGCAAGGAACACTTCAAATGCAAATAAGTTAAGCATGGTAAAAATGATTCAGTTGTTTCTTTTAGAGTTTCATTTAAACTAACCAAGCTAACTGGTCATGCTACAGGGCATTATCTTGCATCAGACACAATCAAGCATTCCCAACTCTGATTATTTTGTTTGGTTAATTACTTTTGCAGTGCTTAGCAACCAGTGCTTTCTGCAGCCTTCAATTGGTTTATCTGTCAATATCCTACAAATGAACTGGGTTCTCTCCTTTGCTAGAGCTGTTTAGCCATGACTATAAGTTGGTTTGTGTTGGGTTTTTTTTTTTTTCCTAGTGAAAGTTAAAAATTTCTGAGCATGATTTTGAAAGAAACAAGTGTATTTTAGGATCTCTAACAACTTTCTAACAGGGTTTTCTCTATCATTTTAGCTAACGTCTCTCCCATCCCAATCCTCAAACACCTCTGAACTACTTTGGAAAAGAAGTAATTAATCCTTTATATCTAAATTTCCAATAGCACTCAGTAAGCTGAAAAACATGTGCCATTTTATATGGTAATTTCATACATGCCAGTTTGGTGGTGCATATACCCTCTGAAAATGCTGATGTATTTGCTTGTTTAACACTTGCATTTTTAATGTGCGTTTTTAAACATCTTTCTTACTGCACTGTACTTGACCTGAGAATTTTAAAATATTATGTCTTAGAAAACATTGTCTGAAAGCCGAAGAACAAGTGAGTGCAGTCAAGAATACTGCTTGATATCCTGTGTCCCTTTACAAAAATCTTTCCTGTAGTTTTGAGCTGGCTCTAGAGCTGTGAGAGAATAAATCACTCCCATCAGCTAATGAAACAAAACAATATTCTCAGAGTTAAAGAAATAAAAACCCCAACCCACTGGGCACAAGGTGCTGCTGTCCTGGAACTCTGCTTTCTGCTTTGATAGGCTGAGACTTTAATCTTATTACCCAATTTTATTTTAGGGATTCTACACTAATCTCAAACTTGTCTTAAAAACTCAAGCCTTTGAAAGGGGCACTTCTCCACTGACAAAAACCAGGTCATGCTGACTCTGATTTAATACAGTAGTCCAGTTCTGCTCCTTTCCCAAAAGCTCAGTACTGTCACCAAACCTTCAGTTGAAACACCACTTTTAAGTCTGTGAGAAAGAAGGTTTCAAGCAACCACAAAGGGAAATGTGGGAGGGTCACATTATTGTTGCTTTTACTCATCCTGAGCAAGCAAAGAAGTGAAAATTTAAAAAGCAAAGTACCTTCCCCATGAACAGTCCCAAATCCCCTAACAGTCCTCACAAACATGGCATTTCTATTCTTCCTTCCTGCCCCTGGAAGGCTATACTTTTCTTACAAATCAGGGGCGTGCACTCACAGAGTCATTCATGGAGGCACTGTTTCACTTTGCTGTCATTTTTTATTGTGTCTTAAGTCTTTTCAAGACCAAGTCTTTCCCACTTCAGAAATGGCTAAGACAGTGAATTCTACTCTAGATGAGCTACATCACAAATACCTATTACTGAAATCTTACAATCAGCTGAAGAATTTTAAGTTATCTATTATATATACACTATAGTTTTCTAAACTGATAATCAGAATCCTTGAAAAATAAGGGCACTTATTTTGTTACTTAGGACAAGACACCTAGATACAGATTTTTTGCCTTAAGATATAATTTCAACACTTAAAACCAACTATCAATACTCAAAAAGTACTCAAGGAATGTTGTTCAAACAATGAGAAAAGTATTCTGTGGTCAGAGCTTAACGAGTTGAGGAGAAGCAACTGCACAAGCATCTTAAGATATCTGGTAAGACCATCTACAAGGCGTAGCTCATGAACATTAGGAAAGTGACACTGCAAATACCAGCAAGTTGAAAAAAACCATAAACCCAAAGCTTCTAGTCTTGAAGATGGCAGTTACTGCTGCAAATTTTCATTTAAAAAACCCAAAAAACCCTGCACCTTTTGCAGCAGCATAATTCTATTTTTAAATGGTAGGAAGTCTGCCTTTTGAGATTATTTTATCACTGTAAGCAACACTTGACTGCTGTTAACAGCACAAAAACTTGAAACTTACAAAAAGATCGATCTTAACAGAAGTGGATCTTCTACACTCAATACTGCACACTGAGAACAGACCCTTTTTCAAGGGTAAGAGGCCAAGTCACACACCCCCCACCTCCAGCTAGATGGTTTTGCAATTGATGCTAACTTGGGTCCTTTTGGCACCTCCGGACCTTGTGCTTCTCCAGCTGGTACCACCTAATCAAAGAGGTCTGGACAGCTGCCCAACAGCGTGCAAGTGGACCTGAGCCTGATGTCTGCCACCACTTCAAAGCAAGGTTATAGCTGAGTCTAAGGGAACACAGGATACTGACAGATGCTGAAGCACTTAGTACAGAGTGAAGCCCAAATGCACAAGAGAGACATCAGCATCTCTTCTGGGAGCGGCGATTACAAAGTCAGACTGCGCGTTTCATACAGTAACAAGTTGGGAACTTCTTCCCACTTACACTGTAGCCAAAGTAAGAGCTGAATGCCCAGAACCAGGACTCAAATTAAGATATCACATGTGGGTTTCCAATGTTGCATTTAATACATCATTTCTATGCATTTCATGCTAAATAGTCACTGAAGCTTTATGTCTTTCATCACTAACCTAGAGGCTTTGTCTTGCTTTCAGTTCTCTTGATCTTACATTCTTGGCAGAGAGTGAAATTACAGTTTTGGAGAATGCCAGACACTGGCAAGAATCTGATTATCTAGAAGAAAACATCCAGAGAAATTAATGAATGCCATGAAGTACACAAGAAAGATGCAGCATGGCTCTGGCTGACAAAAGCCTAGGCAAGGATGCACGCTCTTTTTAGAACTGTTCAGCTGAATACCAGAAGCAATAATGAGTTTCAAACAGGTCTGAAAGGGAGAAACCATTCTGGTAGCATGATGATAAACAACTTTATGTTCACAGGTGATACCGACCTCATTACCACTGACCAAGCAGAATTTACACAGAAGAACAGAGAAGGTAGTGTAGGAATCCAGAAAAATAAGAGACTGATGGGTACACAAGTCAAAAAAAGTGGAAATCAAAATACAAGAAGAGAGTGATAATTCAAACAGAGATAAATAGGGAAAACTGTGCAGTTTGGAGGACCAGCGTCAAAGAACAGACAAGTTGAAGACATATGAAGTGTGGAAGAAGTGCTGGACTATCTGTTAAATTACTGACAATGCTGCAAGATCAAAAAGTTGAAGTCATGTCCCTACACATGAGAATTCCCACATACACATAAACAACAAGCTGAAACTGTGCTATGCATCATTTCTGTTCACTCCTGCAGCTGAATAATACTGGTGGAAAAAAGGTAGCAGTGCAGAAATAAGCTGGCTAAAGAGACTGCAGAAAGTTTTGGTATTTCAGAAGGTAAAACATACACAAGGAATATGGTTAGGACTCTTGTTTTTCTGACAAGTGAGCTCTAACAGACATTGCCATTGTTCCTAAATCACTGATTAAAGAAAAACAACAACACATTTTTTACTTTCTATATTTTAGAATTACATCTGCTATGGAGATGGCTTTTGTGAGACACAGGATGACTACTGCATTTGCTGGTAGGTTCACTCAACTCCCTGGTGAGCCAGCTTATCTCTGGTTAACATCACCTCACCCACAGAAGGTCACTTATCACTCTATGATTCAGAATTTATCACAGCTGTGACTGATAAAAGTCAGAAGTTACAAATCATTGTTAAATATGCAATTATCTAACCATCTGGAACAGCGCTTCTCCTTGGCAATCATGACCAGTAAGGCAACACCAGTAATAGAAGAAATACAATAAAAAAGTGACCTTTCTCAAAGCAAATGCCATCTGCAGCAAAGTGATTGGAAATTTTGCTAATTGCACTGCTCAGCAAAGGATTCAGCTGCTCTGTTCGCATCCCATGTCACAGATGCCATCATTACTTGAAAAGCCTACCCTGGCTGTGAAGTACTCAGAAACTGTCAGGAGGAATGTCTTTCAAAGTAACTACTGCTATGGCTTTAAACAGGTACTTTTGTGTAAAGACCTTAACCTGTTACAATATCCTCATGTGCTGACTCGCCATGCTGACATGATAAAGTCTTCAATTCCCTGAGTTGAGGGGAGAACACTGATGTTATTAGAAAGGCTCCTCCAAAAATCTTCGTTTCTCACCTTGGTGCACTACCAACCAAGGCACCAGAACTGAAGAAAGCATTCAGATTCACAACACATCACTCTAGCCTCAGCCTCCCTGCCTGTGAAGCTGGTAAAGATCCCTGGTTTCTCAGGGCCTTGGAGATAGAAGAAGAGCTATTTTGTGTTTTGGTGCAAACATCACCAGTTCACACAGGTGCCAAAATCCTTTTTTACACCAAACAGCTGATTATCCTACAACCAGCTGGAGTAGGTTCTTCATTTAGCAGTCAGCCAACAAATCAAAACTTTTTTTTATTTTTAAAGGAGCTTGAGCACATCATGGAGCAAGATGCAGAGTCCCACCTAAGAGATGTGTCCTGGTTAAGTCTATGTGGTGCATCACTGCTTGGTGAAGGCTTAACAGCTTGGGTCCAGAGATGAGATGGCCACATCTGCATACCAGCTTATTGAGTCCTGTTTTTTTATTCCAAATTCATAGTCTGGCACAAATAAAGACAGTTCATGTCCTCAGTCTGTATTTGAAACTGCATTCCTGAAGGGACACCTTCCTTAATGCAGCATGGCAAAACATGCTCTGTGCTGTATACCAAGGAATTTTCCATCAAGTTTGCTCAAAACCCAAAATGGAACAGAGGTAACTTTTTTTTGTCCTCTTCATTAGGACAGTTTAGTCCCTCCAGCTGCCTCCCTCTCATGTCATAACGGCCACTTATCAAATTAATGTTTTTATAGCAACCCAAGTATGCTACAGGAAGCATGATAGCCTAAACCATGATGGTATAGATAAATTTGAGAGCAATGTCACCATCAAAAGCTCTCAGGGAGATGAAACCCATTGCAATATGTTTGGTTCTTGCCCAGGGCAGCTACATCTGACTGCTGACCCTTTTCCTCTCCCTCTCACCAAAATACAGAGGTGATAACAACAGTTCCACCTACTTCTGGCAGCCGTGATCTCCTGCTGCAGGACACAGATGTAGAGCTGGAGCGTGAGCTGTGGTGCTGAGCCAAGGAATGCCTGGATCACAGATGCCCTGCTAAAAAATGAACGCAGACCTGTGTGTACACAGCTTGCCTTCAGCCTGGCCCACTTCCTTCTCAATTTCTTCTGAGTACCCATCCTTGGGCATCTGCCTCTTCTTCGTGATGCTGACATAGGGTTCTTCGACTCTGCCAGCATGGAAGTAAATGTAAAAGACTTCCACACACCTACAAGCAAATCAGTAAATAGAGTAACAGGAAAAAAATAAGATAAAAGCACAGGTCTTCCCACTCCTCAGTATTTTAAGCCGTCACACACTAAGTTATTTGCTCGCAGAGCAAAGCCCGTACGTTTTTTCCTCTTGGCAAATTTGGAATATGACATATTTCACCCTTTAAAACATGAACTACCTGTGGCTGGAGGGCAAGAATCTGGCAGTGCCCTTTGGGCTACTTGTAGTAGCTCTCAGACACAGGAGGCGGTTTAGTTGTTTCCTATGAGCTGCCCTTGCTCTCCGCTGTCCTCGTGAAATCCTCAAACTATTCAGCCACTACAACGTTCATCGGCTCCCAACCCAGGACCCAAACTGGAAGAGTTTCTTCAGATTCTCATGTCTGTCTCTTGGTGTCACCTGTACATCTGTGACATGGCAATAAAACCACTTCTCATACCTTTGCCTTAAACAAACAATCTCGAGACATAGGAGAGAAGTTCAGGGCATTGAGCACCTCAAACAGTTGGACTTTACTCCTTTAACAAGCAATGGTCCCAAAACACAAGTAACAAGCCACAGCAGCACTAACAAGAACAAGCAGTTTAGAGCCTCACAACTCTGGATACGAACATTTTTCAAAAAGACACAGAAATAGGAACTTTACACTTGCTTACATTTATTGCACTTTTTAAGGAATATCAAACACAATCTTGCAACTAAGAAGATGCAGTGTTTCCAGTTGCTGCAGGTAAACCAAACCCTCTTGTTTATGTAGGTCTAACTTACCACAGACTAACTTCCAAAGAAAAAAGTGGTGCCAGCACATACAATTCTACTCATAAATCACACATTGTTGTAATACATACTGCCTCTACCCATGCACAGAGAATAATCCATACATTTGGGAGGGAATGAAAAAGGGGTAAAGGGATCGGCAGTAGCAAATGCTGTAGGAATGAGGACAAATTGGCTCCTTGAGTATTAAAGATAATACAGCCTCAAACACATTTATGAAAGGAACGTTTCTGAAACTTCCTTCCAATGCCTATTTTTAGTTTGGCAAAAACTTTACTATTCTCAGAGAGTTGCTTGGGTATGAAGGTGTCAAGGGTGGGTTTGGGCATCAAGTAGGACCCAAAACACAAAGGGGAACAGTCAACGTTGTCTGGGAAGTAATAACAAGCAAGGCTCTACTGAGGTAGAGATGAATTCACAAGCTGAGGGGGAAGGGAGAGGAAAGAAACACTATTTTCATCACATTGCATAGGGTCCTAAAAGAACAGGGCCTGCTACATGTACAGCAGGACCATAAAGAATAAATAGCATTGATGACTGAAAAATAAAACCCCCAAAAGCCCAAACCCAGTGCAGACATAACCTGTTTTCTCTTTTATGCCCAACACTGGTACGGGCTTCAAGAAAAAAAACAACTGTAGTGCGAGCAACAGAACCGGGGAGGGCTGGCTTCCAATCCAGGGGGGAGCTCAGGGGAGAGGAACCCCCACTGTGAGGGTGACCTGTGGCACCAGCTTTGGTCACATTTCCTCCCATGGCCTGACACACATGGTGTCTTCATCTTGTGTAGGTATCATCCTCTGATGAGGACTGAGCTGTCTTCTTTCCATCCATAGTGCCTGCTGGGGTTCATCTCCTCCACCTAGTTTCCTCTGTAGGCAATACTTGCTGGAATGCAGCATCTTCAAGTCTCTGAGAGGTCAGATTTGGCCAGTGAGTCATTATAATGTACAAAAAAGGCTTATCTTCTATTTAAAAGTATCTCACAACCACAAAGCATGGAGCTATGCTTGTCTGAGACTCTGAATTCCCATCTTCTTCTCGGCTTGATTTTTTCCAACAATCACCAAGTCAGAGTCTAGCACAAGCTTTTGGAGAAAAGCTCACAGACCGAACTGTAAAGCAGCACTGATAGAAATTCAAACAAAAGCATACTGATTTTTGTATTAATAAACTTGATTTAATTTTTTTCCCTAGTTGGACCACTTGCAAGTTTCACCTGCTCTAGATGGAGAGCAGTTTTAGGATTCTGTCCTTGATTCACTAGGTTTCAGCTGCTATTACCACTAAAGCTATTTGAAGCACCTGGTGTGCTGGAGGCTCCATTCACAGTGGTAACTTTCTATTTTCCCCTTGTTAATCTTTTCAGTCCCTCCCAGTCTAGTCCCACGTAAAAAAATCCACACAGCCAAAAATAAAGTGTGAAAAATTAATAAAGCACAACATCTTATGAAGCTAACAGAGATTCTGAAACCAACAAATTGACTTTATTTCAAAAGAAAGACCCCAGAACATTTTTGCCTTGCTTAGTATTCCTGGCTATCTATTCATCTTGAGCTGAGGGCAATTCTGAAGCTATTATGGAAAATGCATAATAGAGTTCAGCATCAGCCTCTGAACTCTTGCTGTATGCGTTTTGAAGCAGATATAGACTAAGGACCCACCTAACAAATATGCAGTAATCCCATAAAAGAGACAGTAAGATTCATAAGACTACTGACTTGTCAACAAAACACTGTGTTTTGGAGCAAGCATTTGATTTGTGTTTGTTAGCTAGGTATTAAGTAGCAGTATATCGTTTGTGATGGGAAATTTTACATCCATATAGAAAAGCAAACACAATGTGAAATGAATGGCCTGATGAGCAAACGTTAGGGCCAAAGGGAACTTTCACCAGTAAAATGGAGTAATAAAAATGGTATGTGCAGGCACTCAGATTACATCAGTAGTCATGCCTGTCTTCTTCCAAGCCCTGCCCAGCATGTGAAATAGTGTCTCTGAAGGTCGTGCCTTCTGGGGCCAATAACAAATGTACTCAAGACTTTAGCTGGTGCCACTGCCCAAGCAACCACTTCAAAGAGGAGGAGACTGGCAGCTGGTAGATGAGAAAGAGCACCAATCTAAACGTTTAAGTGTTGATGTGTAAGAAGGGCGTTGGCACTCTCATCCAGGTGAGAAGGCTTGAGAACAGTGATGCGTTGATGTGTAAGAAGGGCACTGGCACTTGAAGAACCATCCAGGTGAGAAGGCTTGAGAACAGTGATGAAGAGTCAGTTCAGATCACATACCTGTGCCATGTTACGCATTTGTCTATGAAGTGCATTCAGAAAGGCTGTCTGTCAACGAACTTGCTTGTTCTTTTTAGCATGAGACGCAACTAGAAGACAATGCAAGAAGGCAATTGCTTCAAGACAGTTTCCCCCACAGTTACAAACTCTGCTACAGAACAGGGAATTACCCACAAGTCCCAGCTGCTCACTGCTCATTGCTGCTCTGCTCTGGAGGAACAGGAATGGGAGCTCCCAGTTTCTGCACAATTGTCCCAGTTGCTCACTGCTCGTTGCTGCTCTGGAGGAACAGGAATGGGAGCTCCCAGTTTCTGCACAATCCGTCTCCTGCAACGCGGTGACCTTTAGGGCCCTTGCAGCAGATCCTCACATGGCATCAACAGCAGAAGGCATGCAGCTGGCCAGTTTCACTGCATGCAAAGCAATGACAGTTGCAGTACAGACTATGAAGGAACTAAAATTACCTTGAAGAAAAAATTGTCAGATCTCTTCCACTCTCTCCAGTAGAAGTTAAAAGGTAAGAAAAAGATAGCGCTGCTTTCTCCCCGGCTGCCAAGTCTTGGCAGAGAGAAGCGCTGTAACCTTCTCAAGCATCCTGATGGTGCCTACAAAGAGTGAATCATCAGCAACACATTCATTTTCTACTCAGTCAGTAGGAGGAATAATCCTATCCCTATATGACTGCTGAGAGCAAGCACCTCATTCCCTCTTTTAATCATGGATGTGTGGCATTTAAATACAGGCAAAATAATGGTGATGTGAAGAGGGAGCAGGCAATGAAAACAGGGAACTTCCCAGAGCCAAGTGCTCCAAGAGCAAATGTCTGTTCAAGAGATGTATTCACACACCCTCACTGCAAATGTACAAGCGGATTTCTCTAATGACTCAATTTTTAGTAATTCCTTTTCTTTAAAGAAGTGTGCAAAAGACTTATAGGTCCTGTAGATTTACTTACCTGTGTCAGACAGAGGTTTGTTCCTCACCCATTCTCCTACCTTCCATCTGCACTGACTTTCCATTCATCGCATCTCAGACACCTAACACATCTCCTCAAGAATAAAGGCAAAAAAAAGCCTGAAGAGGGTCTAGGCATATTCTTCCTACCTGGAGAAGAGGGGGGTGCATCAACAGTTGCAAAGTTTAGAGCTAGCAGAATCTCCTACAGTAAGGTCTGCCAATGGAAGTCCTACAAGGCAGAGAAGTTTTTAGGCCAGTGCTATTCTGAACTCTAAAGCAGGTCACTAGGAAAGAGAGACTACCCACGAGAGACAATGCTTCTGCACAACATGACTGGAGTGTTATCTGCACTGTTACAGCTTGTTAGATTTCAAGCTGCAGAATTAGGTGCCCCAAACACTAATGACTCTGATAATTTCAGCCTACAGGTGTTTTGTTTTGGGTTGGTTTTTTGGTTGGGGTTTTCTGTTTGTTTGTTTTGTTTTTACTTTCTGCAGCTCACAGAATCTAACTTTGGCTGTAACAGCAACTCCTCTGGAAGGTTGATGCAAGCTTCCTACCACATCTGCTTTGCTGCTATTTACATGGTACACAGACACATGTAATTGTTTCTCCTTATGCCTTGAGAAACAAAGCCTGATCCCGTAAAAAAAAAAAAGTCTATTGTTTATATCCTTGTTCCATTAAAATCTGAGGAAAACAGTCATTAGTGTTCTATATAGGGGCCTGTTACATTGGCTTTTGGTTTTTTGGGGGGTTTTTTTTGCAAAAAACCTCATCATCCTGCAGACAGAGCCATCTCCTAACAGCACGTTCCTCCTAAGGAAGAAAGAACCTGTAGGCCCACATTCAGTTAACAGAGCACTAGGGATGGTAGTTTCAAAGACACCAGCAGTCACTTAGCTTTCCTCTCCGTGCAGGTGGCACCAGAAGGAAGCACTGCCAAGCTCACAGCAGTCCCTTCTGGATACGC